CACACCTGTGGCCACGGTGTTCCCAAGCCAAGGGTCTAAGTGACTTCAACCCTATTTACAGGTGACCACAGCCGGTTAGCCTGTGCTGCTCAAAAGAAAGATCCCCCATGGGGTTTTGATGTGTCAGGGGGGTTGCTAATACCTGGCCTGCTTTGAATCGTTTAATCCTGACAGCAGCCTGGGCAGTGGAAATTTCATCTCCCAAATTTATTTCAACTTTTTTTGTTGAAAGTATAGTTCCTTTACAATATTGTGTTAATTCTTGGTGTATAGCATAGTGATTCACTTATACATACATATATATATATATTCACTTATACATATATATATATTCCTTGTCATATACTTTTCCACTATAGGCTATTAAAAGTTATTGAATGTAGTTCCCTGTGCTATACAGTAGGATCTTGTTGTTTGAAACAAAAATTACTAAACAAAGTAACAAAACAAGCAGACTAAACCTAGCCATGTATATGACACAGTTGATTTTATCTGAGGATTTAAATGTGGTTTAGATCTCCAGGATCCCTTTATCAAGTTATCATAAGTAAAGAGCCTATGGACCACTTCTCAGAAAAATGTTTTAAAATCATAAGATTTAGAGAAAAAAGAAGGAAGATAATTATACTGAAAAGCAGATATCAAAATATAAAAATGGGCATTTGTGATACAGTAATATCTGAATTATTGGAAGAACGTGTTGATTAAAAGGTTCTAGTGGTGGGTCTACTAACCGCAACATTCTGCCATAGCAGTGAGTGTAAATCATCTTCTGAGATCTGCAACAATTGCATTTGGAATGTAAATAAAGTTAAATAACAAATAAGCCATGAATTGTGGATTCAGATTCAGGGGTATCTCGAGTCCATATCCCCAGCATTTCCCAGGGCTCCCTGCTCTTCCCCTAATGTCATTGAAAGAAGTGGGGAAAGTTTGTGAAGCGAAGGGCATGTTCCATTGCAAAGAAATCTCATAGCAAACCTTGGAGGATGGCCAGTAAAAGGTTAACGCTGAGATCAGAGGCAGTGGGAAACCTAGCAGGGACAGCTCTTTACAAGTCACATCATGTACTCTGTGTGTGTCCACGTGTGTGTGCATACAGACGTCTGTGCATACAGACGTGCATACATACATGTATGATGTATACACCTGCCTTTCGTGTGAAGCCGCCTCACTGTGAAAATTTGAAATCCATCCAAACGTGCAGTGCAGTAAGCCGAAGCTCAGCCACACCCTAAGTTGTCTGTTGTTGCTCTGTCTCTTCTGCTGAACTCCACTGGTAAACAACACGCCAGCTGTTGCTTTCAGGGACAACAGCTCTGTAGGCTACAGGTCCATGCCTTGTTTCACTGCCAACTCTGATTTTCTTTCAGGACAAATTAACATTTGAAAAAGGGGGAAGCATTCAGTTGGCCCACAAGCCTCTGAGTGAGGAAAAAAAAAACCTTAGAGACAGCTCT